CTCTCCCTCTCCCTCTCCCTCTCCCTCTCCCTCTCCCTCTCCCTCTCTCTATCTCTATCTCTATCTCTATCTCTATGTATCTATGTATCTATGTATCTATGTATCTATGTATCTATGTATCTATCTATCTATCTATCTATCTATCTATCTATCTATCTATCTATCTATCTATCTATCTATCTATCTATCTATCTATCTATCTATCTATCTATCTATCTATCTATCTATCTATCTCTCTCTCTCTATCTATCTCTATCTATCTCTATCTATCTCTATCTATCTCTATCTATCTATCTATCTATCTATCTCTATCTATCTCTATCTATCTCTATCTATCTCTATCTATCTCTATCTATCTCTATCTATCTATCTATCTATCTATCTCTCTCTCTCTCTCTATCTATCTATCTATCTATCTATCTATCTATCTCTCTCTCTCTCTCGGGTTTCACGGGCACAAATGACCAAAAGGGCGAGCCAGTAGGATGGTTTTCGAAAGATTTCTTTTGGTTCCCTTTTCCAGGAAAGGGCCATGCGTGGGTCCTTTTCCGGAAGAAAGAGAGTGGCTGACTGGGGGTGTAGCACTGTTCAGCAGCGAAAATGGCGACTCGGGTCCTTCAGCTGGAGAACCATCCAACCTGGAGGTGATCATCCACCATTGCTTTGGCTCAGGATGTTTCAGGATTTCTCCACCCAGAAATACGCCATGTCAACCATGTGCTTTTTCGAAAGACGGCACTACCTGGGATACAGAAAAGACCCTCCGGGCCACCTGATCTCTGACCTGGTGGATCTCCAGGTCAGAGATCTCCCAGCTTGAAAGACCCCTCAGCAATGCAAGACCTGGGATGACATAGCTCGGTCCTTTTATTCTTTTTCTGCAGGTCGAGGTAGTGCTGCCCTTCTCGCGCCGAGCCAATCTCGGCTCAAGTAGCAGGATTTGGCCTCTCTGGCCGAAAGGCACGTCCGATCCCAGGCGTGACATCAACGGTGCCGTCGCTGGCTGGAGCACGCCCGACATCCGGACAGTTGGACCCTCCATCTAGGCATCCAGTTGGACCCAAGTACTCTGACATCCAGTTGGGCACGTGTGTGGCGAGTAGACGCGAAAACGCAGGTAGACGGTCCACGGAGTCCACGGAGTCCAATCGCGCTTGTCGTTGGTCGAATCGTGCTTTGTCGACATCTTGGGGGGCACGGGGCGTTGGCGACATCAATGTGAAGATGGTTGAAGGATCATGCCGCCTGTGGAGTACGGGTTCACGCGTGTTCATCGGCACTTCGTCGGGCGAAAAGGTTGAGTCGTCAGCAGCCGAATTCGCGACCGGCACGTGGAATGTGGACGTGGTTGTCACAGGCCGCTTCCCAGGTGCGGCTGGGTTTCGGGGTGATCGACGCTCGAGGCAAAGGCGCCCCCGCAAGTCGCGCCGCAAATCGCTTGGCAAAACTGGCGCCTGCTCATCGCCTGCTCATGTGTTAAAGCGCTCAAAGTCTCTAAATGTTCGTGCCCAACGTTGCGTGCAACGTCACCGGCGCTCACCCTGTCAGCCTGCAATTCAATTGCCTCAGCCTGGCGCTCGGTCCGCACCCGAAAAGCGTGCAGGACAACGGCCGAATGAACCGAGGTAACCGAAACAGCCACGACGAGGGGAAAGTGGGGGCAGCAGAAGCGCTTTCGTTGGAGCTTTCCGCAAAGGGGTGCCGTGCAAAAAGGAGCGCGGGAAAAGGGCCATAGAGGAGCGTGGCGTTACCCTTTGTGGTCTAGCTTTCCCCTCTCAAAATTCTCGAGGGGCTGCCCTAAAATCGTGCTCAAGGGTTCTTTGCAATCAGAAATGAATTGTGCAAAACGCACAAGCAAAAACAGTTAAAAACAAAGAACCGGTCCGTTTAGGATCAGAGGACTTTCTTGATCGCATCCACTTGGAACGGATTCATGCATGTGCGATTGACCAACCTGGGGCCACCGGCAGCTCTGTCCACAACAACTCTGTGCCGAAAAGCTCCCAGAGCGAGCTCACCAGGGATAGCAGGGGTGAGTTGATCCAAAGAACCCTGCAGGGTGCCTGCGTGGAGTCCAAAAGCCGATTCCAAGTTGCGCAGGTCGACCCTTGTTCTCGGGCATTTGCTTTGTATTTTTGTGGCGTTTGGGGAGTCAACAAGGGCCATTGTAAGAGAGCCAGACGCTGGAAACTCCGAAGACGATTTGTCCAGTGTGAACGAACTGTCATACACCTTGAGGGAAACTCACATTTTTTCGGGTTTGAAGTTGCGATCTGTCCAGGTGACATGGGTGAGCCGGGCAATGCATACAATGGACAGATCAGGGCCACTTGGTATTCCGAGCTCCCACCCGGCCGGATGGGCGGATCATGGTCCAACATCAAACAATATCAAACATGCCATGTTTGGAGGTTGGGGACATGGTTGAGGGACGTCTCACTGGGTTGTCCTTTCCAGAACGCATGAGACAATTAGCTTTAACATGCTTCAACAGTCCCTTCAATTCGACATGCAGCGTCGAATGGAAGGGGAGGTGCCAAGCAACTGGTTCCAGTCCACACCCAAATCATCAAGAGTTGCAGGCAAGCAGAACAAGGAAAACAAGGGTTGAATTTGGCCAAGCCTCTTCCAAAGTGTTGATGTGTTGCATCAAAAATTGGGCAAACTTAGCCGTTCGCCATTGATTTGTAATGTTTTGCCCGAATAGATGTGCTCAGTTGCAGAAAACGATCTCTTTGCTTTGTTGACACCAACAGAAAACCCTAACTCACCTGCCCTTTGGCCTTTGACCATCTATCTTAGACACTTGCCCTCTATCCAACGAAAATAAGTCCCCCTCCACGATATTTGGATGAAGGTAGGACTCTTGGTTTCATGAGTAATTAATCTCAAGCATGCTTACACCAGTGGAAGGGTAGCTCGATCAAGTTTGGGCGAAAAAAGTGCGTCCAGAGATTTCTCGCTTGAAATGGCTTAGATGTTGGTTCCGAGAAATGATTCTAGAATATGTTGGATGGGTAGAAGAAAGATACGGCAAGATATAGTAAGATGGTTCCAAAACCAAAGGGTCAGATGGAAGATGGGCAGAAAAAGGCAGCGTCTTCCGGTCCTTTCGGTCTGCGCCTCTCGCGTGCCTCGCAGACCGAGTGGTCATGAGATTGACTGGTCTGCTCAGGATGGCTTGTTCCACGGGAGGGGCACATTGATCTATGCTGGAAACGAGCGCTACGAAGGTGAGTGGAGACCTTAAATGGCTGCGGGGCGTGGAGAAATGTGGAGTCGGTAGATATTACGAGTTAATTGAGAGTGTTTTTTCTGAGCCGAACGAGAAATCGGCATAGCCTCTTTACAAACATGAGATCGGCTGTGTGAGGTCAGTCAGGGGGGTTCAGTGTGTGGATGAAATCATCGACTCCACGCTGTGAAATGGCGGTAGGTCAAAAGCCTAGAATCTGGAGATCAATCAGTAATGATTTTGGTTCAGCACCCATAGATACCAAATACCCATAGCCAAAGCAGCTTGTGAACACTAAGTTGGGTCTATGGCAAGAGAGAAGGCCATGGAAGGCACGCGGAGAACGGTTCGGCCGCGTTCGCGACGTTCGCGTCGTTCCATTTGTGTATGGGGACCATGGGGGACCTCAGTTCAACCTCCTGGAAGGATCATGCACCAAAACCATCCAAAACCCGGGCCAGGGATCTCCTTGTTGAAAGACTGGCAGCCGCTTGTCGAGGCAAAAGCGGTGCAGTTTTGGGAGTTGCAACAAGGGCCTCCAGTCGGACTCAACACGTGAACGCGATCCGGAGAATGAGACTGAATCACTTCTGTCAGGTCGAAAAGGAGCGTCTTTCTTTCCAGCCCATGGGCTGAATCCAGTATATGCCGCTGACAACAGTGCGCTGAGCGACGTCAACCATAGTCAACGACTCTAATGACCCATAGTCAGCCGTAGTGAACCATCGATGCCTAGAATTCCTTGGGGTTCTTCTTGGGTCTGGGGCCTATAAACCCAAGGACTGTTACACCTGACATCTCTTCTTTCCATGAGCCAACGACGCTTCTTGCAGGTTCACATACCAAGATGGTGCCATTTTCGAAGGCAATTGGCAGGAGGACCGGGTTCCTTTTCCTGAACGGAAGAGTTTGGTGGTTTCTACAGACCAAGCAGATCAATTTGAGCCTCTTTGTTCTTGTGCCAGTTCTTTTGTACACACCAGGGGCATCTTCAAGCTCTACCGATTTCACCTACTTTGAGAAGAATATCGAACCCATCGACAAAACAATCCGCACGAGTCTGGCAAGCCACACCATGGTATTTCAGGTATTTCTCTGCAGCGTAACTTCTTGAAATTCTTTCCGACTCTCCTTGAGGACAGGATACATGGCCAAGGGGTTGCCGTCTTCGCGTCCGGCAACCGCTATGAGGGCATGTGGGAGAATGGACGGATTCATGGTCATGGTGGCTCGGCTGCGTGAGAAGTCGCGGGAAAAAGACATTTCTTGGGTTGACTGAAAGTGAATAGGTAGAGAAAGGCGCACCATTCTTTGCCTATTGGGTATGATCAGTCATGGTGATATTCTTCAGTACCAGGGTTCTGCAAGTAGAGCAGCCTGTTCATATTCAGGGACAGGTGGCATGCGCCTCCAAGATGTTTGCCAGATGATCTTCAAATCAGTGCCGAGCTGTCTGAAAAGCTGCGATGATGCGATGCTAAGGTTCACTCACATACTCGAACAAAGACCAGTATGAAGGGGAGTGGCACAGGGCTCAGAGGGTTGATCAAAGCTGGGTGAGGTTGCATCTTGGAATGAATTCACGTTGTTCAAGCGAGAAACGACACATGCAGCAAGTTCAATCTTCGTTTCATCCGGTTTGATCAGGCACGATGGCAAGATGCATGGACGCGGCACTTACAAGTATGCAGCCTGCCAAGCTTAAAGCAGAGGTGATCCAAGAAGAATGATCATGGAGACCAGCAGCTGTTAAGGTCTGAAAGCTCGTCCCTGTCATGGTTTTGACTTAAAGACATTGGAAGATGCCCATTTGAGGCCGAAGGCGACGTCTACCAGGGGGAGTGGAAGGATGACAAGCGGCACGGGAAGGGCGTGGTCACATACGCCGGGACGTCAGATTCGGCATGTTAACAGCTTGCATGCTGGAAGTAGCTGACTGGTGTGATATTTCAGTAACTGGTGTGATAGTCCACTGGTCGGACTTCCACCCCGATCTGACTGGTGGAAGTAACTGACTGGTGAGTAGCAAGAAGCTACTAGTAACAAGTGTGAATAAGTCAATAAGTCGGACTGAGGAGCCCATCACCTCCCAAGGAGGTGAGCAATCTGGTCAGTGTGGCTCAGGTCAGCGCGCGTGGCAGTGTGGTGGAGAAGTTCGAAGGTGATTGGGTGAACGGCAAGATGCATGGTCAGGGGAAGAGCCATGGCTGGAAGATGTGCTCAGGGTGAGGAGGAGGAGAAGGAGGATATATTGTGGATACATATGGATACATAGTCATACATCATATTAACATTATATTGCATTACTACCTACCTACCTACCTACCTACCTACCTACCTAACTACCTCCATGCATGGCTATATATATATATAGATTTGAACATGTTTAAACAATTACTCTTAAAACCCGGTGTCCCCCCTGCATGGTCGCACATTCGTTGATGGTAATTTGCACTAGTAGAGTCAAGCAAGGACTGCGGAAATGATATGAAATGATCTAGCTTTGATATGACACTCTTTCAAATATTTTGGGGGAACACTTCTTATCATGTCTTATCCGGTTTGTCCGGGAGGTCCCATCATCCATGGTCCCTCCGTCTATCTCCGTCTCCTCGCTCGTTCCTGGGTGATCTGTTGGGTGCTGCGCTCCAGATCGTCTTTTCCTGACAGTCCAACCAAAGGTAAGATAAATTGTAGAGGGATCCAGCTATGTACCATCTATATGTTCTCCACAAGTTCCGAAAGGGAGAGCCTGAGTCACAGTCCATCCGAAGGGAGAACTGACCCAGTGAACCGAGCCTGAAGAGATATGAAGATGAAGAGATGAAAACAGAGGGACGTGGCCTCGATGCTGTGACTGTGGCGCCTGTCACCGAACCCCCCCCTCACCCGCGGCGAGGGTGGATCAGTCAAGCGTCGAGTAACGATGGACGTCCATGGTTGGCCGGATCGCTCCGAGGTACCAATATGCGGATGGTGGCGTCTACGAGGGAGATTGGCAAGATGGCAAAATGCATGGCAGGGGGATCTATGCCACGTCCTTACTTTGGAAAGAACCACACGTCCCCTCCTTCCTAGACAAGTGCTGTAGATATGGCTATGACCGATGCTATATGGCTCAACAAAAGTCCACAAACTATGAAAGACCATGAAAGACCCAGGCAACCGCAAGTGTGGATATACGTGTTGAGCCATGCCCACATATGTTGTGCACTTCCATCTAAGCAGTTTGAGAAACTTCAGTTCGAACCAGCTGATCTTCCGTTCTGAGGTTTTCCCGAATGGGAACACATACGATGGTGAGTGGGTGAATGACATGAAAGAAGGCAGGACAACCAGCAGCGAAACGGCGGCCACAGCGCCACGGCGGTCGTCGTTCGCAAGACCCCTCAGCTTTTGCTCGTTCAGGCTATGGCACCTTGACATACCAAAATGGTGAAAAGTACGATGGCTACTGGAAGCAAGACAAGGCCAGGCACGGCCTCGGTGTTGCTTTGTGCTTTGATGCTGGCGGCTGCGACATCATGAAAACGCTGGTGCTGCGGCAGCTGTTGTTGTCGTCGTCGTCGTCCCCTCTGTTCGTCCACACCTGCGAGGGAAGAGGACATATGGCAGTGTATTAAAATAGGGAGACCTTCCAGTTCGACCCCCGTGGAAGAAGGGAAATAGCTGAAATAGATCAAAAACCCACTGCAGTGGGATCGCTTCCTATTGTCAAATATACACACCCACACCTATAGGAAAACCCATGAGAGAAAAACCATGAAAAAACGACACAAAAAGCAGCAGGCCATCAGTGGCCTTACCATGCCTTCGCCGTACCGTGGCCTTCGACGTGGCCTTCGCCTTGCAGGTCCATGGGCAAGGTACCCTGGTGTATACTTACGGAGACAAGTTCATAGGCCAATGGGTCGATGTCAGGAGCTCAGACGGAGGAGGTTCGGCGGAACGCCCGGCCGGTTTCTTTTAGAAATGGGTGGTCCAAGAGAATGGGATAAAGAATGAGAAGAATGGTGCAGTCACCAAAAAAACAACACCGTCTCGGAGTTTTCATCATAAACGTTTCAGTGTTTCAGATACCTAGTCCTCAAACCAACATGCGGATGTTTGACCAAGTTCCACGCTCCTATCGTCGTCGCAATGGGTGAAAGGACCTTTTCAAGGACCGTGGTCGAGAGAAAACCTCGGTGACGCGAGGCCAAGAAGGAAGGCGAGGGTGAACTGATTTACTCCAACGGCGACCGCTTCAAAGGCGCGGGCGGAGCGCGGCCGGCAGCGCGGGCGGAGCGCGGCCTCCGCCGTTTTCTTCCGGAGGGCGAAAAGGCCGTGGCGTTCCCGAAGAAATTGCTGTAGAGGAATTCGGGCCAAGGAAACATATGGATGCATGATGCAGACACATGGAATTTGATTGATGGAATTTGATATGGCTTAATTCATGACCAACTATGGAATTTTCTTCATGTTGGTTGATAGGCAGGCGTCCAAACCGACCGCTTTTCGCGACGTGTTTTGCACGCGTCTTGCGCGGGGCGGCGCGGTTTTGGGCGATGGCATGCGATGGCGAAAGAATGGAACATGATGAGAGATCTCAATGCCCCCATGGGAGGAGGACAAGAAATCATTGAATTTGTGGGGGTCGTTCAAATCCAGTATATAAATATTAACTTATGTTCTTTCCTGAAACCCAACACCGCTTTGCTCCCGACGGTGGTGGTGAGTGGTGCCGTACACGTGGTTTGTGCTCTCGTTGGAGGCCAATGGGTGGATGATCGAGCATCGGGCCATGGACTCTTCCAGCATCCTGGCGAATGCGCGGATCAGGTGGCGGATGGAGGTTTGGAGGAAATGGGCGAGGCGTGGGAATTCCCAAGTGAGACATCCTACGGTGACGGAGATTCTGTCCGCGAATCCACAGATTTGTCTTTCAGTCTCTCAAAAAATATCATCCAAACGACTGTCGACCGTGTTTTTCACCATGTTAAACCTTCTATGTCCTTCCCCGCTCCTCCAAGGTACTCCAATGGAAATCGCTACGAGGGCCAATGGCTCGACGACAAGCGCCCAGCGGCTCAGTCCTCCGCCGTTCGACGAAAGCGCGTCGACGGCAGCTTCGACCGAGGCCATGGACGCGGTTTGTTTGCCTGTGCAGAGGACCGGGTGAACTGGGCGCGGTGAAAGCGACATGTCCCATGGGCGCGTGTTTCATGGCGCATGTGTGTTGGGCGGTGGTGAAAGAGGCTCAAGATATGGATGATGGGGAATTCGGCTGGTTGCAAGGTGAGTGCTTGCAAGTTTTTCCAGGAAATTCTGATGTTGCAGTGTTTAAGTGAAGCTGTGGCATGAGGTATGGCAGGTGAAGAAGGAGGATGGTGGCGATGAACCTCAGCCCATCCGAATGGATGGACCCTCTCGACTGTTGAGCCGGAGGATGGTTCTGTCTACGACGGCGAGTTTGCCTATGGGCGGAAAGATGGTTTGGGCTCCCAGCGCCGCGCCGCGCCTTGCTCGGTACAACCGGGCAAGAGCTGAACATGACATCAGGTATTTCTTCAAAAACATCATGTGAGGGCCAAAATGTTGGGAAAGGTGATAGGATGCGGTCAGCGCTTCAGTGAAGAATGCCACTTTGATGCCACTCTGTCTCCCCAAAAAGGATGCCCTCCACAACTGGCCCGAATCAATTCACACACCACGCGCAAGAACCCACACCTCTTCTCTGCCAATCACACACCACACCGCCCTCTTCACGCCCCACCCACACCGCCCCGCCCACGAGGCCGCGGGCTCTTGAAGCTCCAATCGGGACACGTCTTGAGCGGTCAATGGAAGTTGGGCACTCGGACGTCGCGCGCGAGGGCGCCATGGTGTGAAGATCTTGGAGACAGGGAACACCCCCAGGACCCATGGCGCCATAGAGACCTGGACTGGTATGTACTGCTATGGCACATGACCCTGGCACTGCTGGCCTGGCACTGCTTGCTTGAGTGAATGAAACAGCGCAAAAACGATGCCGACATGGCAAATCTCTTGAGAATGGCCGATGGACAACTGGCATTTGCTTCATGTTGCTTCGCTTCGAGAAATGACATAAAACCGTCGTCAGGCAAGGGGAGCTCGTGCAGGCAGGGGGAAAAACGGGGGCATCGCCCGTTCCCAGGCCGGTGTGGTAAAAGCTGTCTTTTGGACTCGGGATCCAACACAAAAGAACAGTGTTCAAGGAAGTTTGATTTACCAGTGCCAGACCGGTGCCGTGTGAGTCCAACTGTTTGATCAGGTGCTTCCGGATTCCGGCTCTATGGTTCCTCAGCAGTTTGACGACTTTTGACATTGTGTGACAAATCAAAAGTTGAGGTTTGACTGTGTTTGATCAATGTTGTGTCTAGTCTAAGATAGTTCATCTGCGAATGTTGGGTGTCACAATTACAAGCATGCTAAGCATACTCTTCACATCTCTTCTCTGATAATATGTATATTATATATCCTGAATCCATTTAGATCCTCACTCTTCCAGTGCATTTTTGTTCTTTCGCATCATCAGTACTGGGGTCATAACCCACAGGATCCAGGATCATCCAGGATCATCCAGGATCATGGATCATGGATCATGGAATCAGGAGGAGGTTCCACGCCTCGAAGGAGGCCTTGGAACCCAGGCTTCGAGGTTCCGGCGCAGCTGGTCGACAGCTGGGACGACCACGACCTCGGTGGCTGAATTGAGCTCGTCTCGTCGGGTCTCCCTCGTTTGCCCGTTTAGGGTTGAGGGTTTAGATGGGACAAGAACGAACACAGTTGATCTGTTAGGGATACACATGATACAAGATCTTCAGCCTTTCTGTCCGAGGCAATGGAGAACATGTCGACGATTGTTCTTGGTAGCCCGTGGAGTCCGAAGCCCAAAAGGACCAAACACCTTGACCCTTCACATGCTGTTTCAATCTTTTTCGCACATCGTTTTGGGGCAGCAGGCTCTAGCCTTTCACCGGCTCCATTTTTCGACCCGTTTCCACCGGTCGTTCTACTCGCTTTTACCATGCTCCACACCCAGAAACCCACGGGTTCGAAACCAACCTGAACCCAAATCCGGGCTGCCCCGCAGGTCGCGGACTTCGTCTTCGCGGCCGATTCGCCCTGGAAGAATCCAGACTTGTAACATCCTGAAAGCTGTACATGTGAAGCGGTCCGACCCGTCGCAGGACATCGCCGGTCCGACCCGCCCTGAAAGCGGGAAAGCTTTCCGGTCGGCGAGAAAGCGAACTCGGGTCGGCTTTCTGAATCCCGAGAGGTGAGGGGCAGGTGAAGCCCAATTTCTCAAAAACACTTGCATGCCATACCTGGGAGAACTGGACACAAGGAAAAAGGTGTGATGATTTTTGTATGTCGTTCGCCACCGAAGGATCTAACTATATCTAGCTATGGGCTGTTTGTCCATATGTGTCAATCCATGGCTTGAACAGAGGTCCTGAGGTTTGGCAGTCGGTGGCTGCTTCGTAAAATATGCGCATCGTGCGCGTTCTCATTGTTTGTCAAGACACTCTTGCAAGGCATCGTGAAACTGCAAACTCTTGCATTAAGCTGCAGACTCTTGATTCCTTTGGTGAGAGATGCTTGGCAGACAAGTGCACTCCAAGAGCTGCATTCGAGGGGCTTTTGAGCACACCTCGCTATGTGGCTTCGTACCGCTAGGGTCAGCTTTGGTGCGGCAAACACAAAGATGTTTGCAAGATGGTGAGTGCATCTCCGGCTTGAACAAAACACATGAAAATATATGAAAATCATGAACCAGTCCAACACATCCACCAACCTAATCCAAGCCACCTCTTCCGGTTGATGAGCAAGTTCTCCTGCTCCACACAGGCTCTACTGTCCACTTATCAGCCCAGGTCCACGAAGAAAAGATCAGACCAAGTTCGCCCAAGAAGTGCAGGGAGAACTTGTCCATCAACCGTGTGGCATGCCTACCACGGTTTTTCACCCCATCACAGGTGTGAACACCCACCACCCCCTGTTCTGACAGAGACCTTGAAGCTGGACATCGAAAAAGGGCCGGCTTCGCGGCAGCCTGCAGTAGCTAGCCCTAGCTGTAGTGGCAGGCTCCTCGTTTCCACATGTCAACCAGACTGCCCTAGCTGTCGCTCCCAATCCACTGAATCGCCCAAATCGAAGTTCTTCAGTGTCTGACTCTCCCCTCTGGCCACCGACAGCCAAGGACAGTCGCACCCAAATCAATACTGTAGGATATAACCATATATAAGAGCCTTCGGATGATTTGCTGAATGGTCAGACATCATGAAAGAAAAGGATTCATGATCAGACTCAGACCTCATCATGTTTCCCTCATGTGAAAACTCGGAGCCGCCCGAGAAAAAAAACAAAGAAAAACGGGGTAAAAAAGAAACACGGCCCGCCGACCCCGAACTGAGATCGCCCCTGCTTGGAAAAAAGAAAAAAAAACGCGACCGCTCCCACGAGGTCCCGAGCTTGAATCTTCTTGACATACACTCCCGAAAACTAACATAGACCCTGACAATGGCCCCATGAAAAACTATGTTCCTCTACCAACCAGTGGTTTTCAGGCTCCATGATAGTCTTCCAGGGTGTATGTTTGTTTGGATGACTTCGGGTTGTTGGGGGACCCATGTGGTTCTTCGCATGGTTTGACGCGTGACGGCATGAGTCGTTGGAACGAGGTTTCTGCATTTCAGGGAAAACTGCTTCGCTGTCTCGCTTCTTGCCTATGAACTTGAGCTGCAAGCCCACAGAACAGAGGGCTGCATAGCTTTAAAATGCTTCAGACTAGGAAGATGCTGCAAAACACACATGTGATCTCCCCTATCCCTAGGACTTGAATAACTAGTGCAAATGTATGCAAATGTATCCTTGTTCTCAACTCAGCTGCACCTTTTTTGCATTCATCCACTCTCCGGAATCCTTTCTGGTAAAGCCCCAAACCGGGCTCCAAGTCCGAGATAGCATCCCCATCCACTCAAGCTGAGCGAAAGCTCCAAGTTCCACAGCATTTCCCGTAGCAGAACGCTGTGCCACAATGGACAAAGAGAAGAAGGAGAAGAAGGAGAAAAAGGACAAGGAGGAGAAGGAGAAAAAGGATAAGAAGGACAAAGATGAGAAGAAAGAAAAGAAGGAGAAAAAGGCCTGAGACTGCTTCACTGTGGGCAGCAGCTACTGCGGATAAACAACAATCCTACATTTGAGCAACAGAGGACCTGTTCCATTGGTTCTCAGGTATTCCAGCTGGAGTATCTTTTATCCATCAGTAGGCTAGCTGTGTGGCAGGAGGGAAAAAGAATCCAGTTGGGACCATTCAGACTAGTCAGAACGTGGACCGCAAAGCCGAACCCCCAAAACCCGCGAAACTTCCGAGACCAGAAGAGAGGAATCCTGAGACAAGACGAAGCGAGCGCTTTGACCGCGGAAAATGACTAGTAGCTTGTTACTACTACCATAGATGGACCTTTGGGGATTGGGGGTTGGTGACAGTCATCGACTGAGGGGTTTGAATATTTGGTCCATCTACTGTAGTAAGGCGCCTTGCTACCAGTAGCGTCTTTGCTACTAGTAGTAATGGCCTCCAACCTACTAACGATGGCCTCCAACCTTGTAGCGTCCTTGCTACTAGTAGTAATGGCCTCCAACCTACT